GACAATGCTTTTTGACAGTATAGTGTCCTCGTCACTATACTGGGGTGCTAGGACCCACTCAGTCCACAGGGTGAGCACCCCTTGCTGGCCTCACTAGCACCTCTTCCAGGAGCAAACTAGTTTTCCTCAGGAGGTCTCCCATCCAGGTACGGACCAGGCTCAATGGTGCTTAGCTTCAGAGGGTGACCAGGCGAGAGCTGCAGAGTGATAGACTGCCACAAAACTAGTTCTTCAAAAAAGATTGTGGTCTGGAGTTCTCCTCTGCTTACAAAAACCAATACCTGCCCTTTAATAGTTCTCCATTGTGATAAAAGCTGTGTTAGTGGCAGCCCTACACACTGCTATTACACAGAGATAAAATAGCAGTTGTCCTTGAATACTAACTCACTGTGTTCTTTCCTCTACTGCCTATTTGATATAGTTTGCTTCATAATGGCTTTGATACACCTGTGCAGAGTTCATCTTTTGTGACCAGGAAGTGTGTTTGTAAATTTCATATCCCCTTTTGATCCAATCCCGATTTAATGTATACTGAATGTCATACGCTCCTTTTGCATGTACTGCACATACAGTGTACGGGTGATTGTGTGGACCAACTTTTGTAACAAATACAAAGCCTTGCTAAAGTATCCTGTGTTCAAATGCTAAATATGATATAATATATAATATTAAGACTTTTATTTTTTTTAATAGTGCTAAAGTCAGTATACTGGTTTACCTTTGTGCTGTTATATAAAGAATGTCTTCTTTCTGTGTGGAGTGCATATGTGCAGGAAAACTGCAAGACCTACACAATATTAAAATAATTTGGGTTTATCAGCACATATGAAATGTTAACCTCTGTAGGTTAGAATGTCTATATGGAGATGTTATAATTGATCAGACTTTGATCAGCGTTTTACACTAAATGCAACACAGGTAGGTTCTGTAAAAACTACATGAAAGGTCTTTGAACAGAGGGTTTGATATGGTATTTTATCAAAGATTTTCTGTAACTTCGCAGCCATTAATGTTTACAGGATTTTTGTAAAAGTCAGAAAGCCAGTGATACATCTTAGAGGTGAGTGAGAAAGTGTAGTAGAAAATTCATATTAACACAGGGATCCAAATCCTGAAGGGGCTGGAACCCAACTGCATTTGTTCATATTTGCTTACAAAATATTTTGTCCTTCTGAATCTCATGGTCATATTGATTTCCTTTTTTACATTAAAACAATATTCTGACAAAATTAAATTAATAATTTAACAGATTTTCCTTAGTTATACATCACACTTTCATTTACTTATTTGTTTATTAGATATTTCAATGTTTTAAATAGATTAGTCAATTTAGGTCTATGCAAAAATGTTTGCAAGAGAACTTGAAGTGTTTTTGATAACTGGTTGCAAGAAAATTGAAAATTACTCCTCAAAATTAAGTTTTGGATATTTATAATGTAAAGACTCACAGAGAATATAACAGGCAACATAAAAAGACAAATAAAATTTGAACTAAAATATGAAATAATTTAATCAACGATATATTTGGGCAACACAACATTAACTGTTTTCCACTGTTTACAACATACGGTCTTGTCATGCATTAACACTGAAGCATGTGCGCCAACAAATATTAATCTGAAGCGCTCCATGTTTTCAGTTTTTAATTGAAATGCAAGTTTAAATATTCAATGATTATGGTAAATTGACTATTTAAATTAGCGGAGTTGTAATTTGTGAGGTTATGGCAAATACTCAAGGAACCGTAACAAGAATAGTCTCTGATCATTCTTTAATTTTATACAAAACATTGTAGGCTATTCGTTTTGTTAATTTAATTGTACAAATCACGAACCTATATTATTGTGGACTGACCAAATATGTGGGACCGCACATAAGATTTTAATAAAATGATCTGTCAGAAAAAAAAAAAAAGAATACCTTCAGATGGCAAAGGCTGAAAGGGTAATAGCTACCAGAGATGCTGTTTTTACAGTAAGACAGTGCAACGATTTGACGTACAACAGAAATAAAACATTGATTCAGCATGACTGAGACTGGTTGAGTCCTGGCCCTTTACTTTCAGGGGTTTTGAGTAATAACTCGTTATTCTCGGCTCTCAGTCTCTCCACCTCAATCTCCAGTTCCCGCACGCGCTGAACACCGGTGCCGTCTGCTGGGGACTCGGGGTTTCTCCGGACGTGGCGAAGCCAGTTGTTCTCCTCCTCTAACCGTGACATACACTTCTCCAGCTCCAGGTATTCCCTAACCAGTTCTTGTTTAGACATATTTTGGAGAGTCTCGACGTGGTACCGCTCATAGGTCTCAGAAAAGTCTCTCTGCAAAAACTCTCCGCCTGCGTGCCCGGGTCTGCCCATACCGTCGCTGCCTCCGCCGCCGCCGCCCTCCTCCTCGTCTTCATCTTCGCCTTCGAAATTCTCATCTTCGCTGGCCGTGTCATCGGAGCGGATCGCCCCGGATTTTCTGCCGCCCAGCTCCGTGTTGAGGTCAGGTTCTTCGCGGTCGTGCTCCTCCATCAGGAACTGGGTGGTGTTGTATGGGGCAACGGGCAGACCTTTGGCGAACATCTCAGCGCGCACCCGCGATGCACGGGCGGTCTCGCGTTCATCTAGCTCTTTCTTCTCCTCCCAGGTTAATTTGAAGTAAGGCTTCCAGCGGCGCTTCTTCTTGGAGGGTCGCCGCCGGTGGTTCTTCTTGCCCTGGCGGCCATCTGACGGCCCCTCGGTGTTTACTGTCGTGCAACCAGTGTCTCTCTTATTTGTTTTGTCCGCAGGAAAGCCGTCGTCACTTGCTGCGTCACCAGCCTTGGGCTCCGGATCACTCCTATCCCGGCCGCGACACATAGGATGTGTATCTCCAGACACCAAACCGGGACAGATCTCCAGCTGGTTTCTTTGCACTTGTTTTGAGGAGACACTTGTCAGACCATCCCTCTGCCGCCCTCTGCTGTCATCCTCCGGTGCAGCTTCTTCTTTAATAAGCTCCATAACTGTACACTCCCACCTGAAGGAGATACAAGTTTGTGATCATTGAGATGAGGGACACCCTTTTAAACTGAGGTATGAATAGAAATCATGTTCCTGACCGCTGCCATTTAAAACAATTCACCAAACACTGAGGAAAAAGGGAAATGCTTTTTTAAAAAGTGAATGAACATTTTAACATAAGAAACAGCATTAACAAACTCGCATTAAGTTAAACTTGATTTACCTCACCGTTCAACTCCACTCTCGTGTTTGAGTTATTATGCTATCTAAGACTGTTGTGAACTCTTTCTGTTCCGACTACTATTGACTTGGTATCTTGACGGGTACGAGAACATTTCCCTCCAATGCAAACTCCAATTCGCTTCTGATACGGAGAACACTGGGGCTTCTGAATTTATTACCTCCCCCACGTAAAGGCGCATGCGGCCAGTCCTCCAGTTTTTTCCTGCTTTGTGGGACTTGAAGTCCCGCTAGGCATTTGCACACGACAATCTCTGCCGTAAAACCTCCATTACCCACAATCCAACGACTGTTTTCGGTCCCGGGCGGGCTACGCCCACTCGCAATTTTCACTGGATAAAAAGTGTTTTGTGAGCGCACTGTCCAATCGAAGCATTCTGATTGGTAGTTTTCATTGTCAATCAAAAAGAAAGCTCTCCCGGTCACTCTAGTGGACGCTACCAAGCATGGCCGAAGCAGGTAGAAACATCCGCCCCATTCTACAATATGCATTAAACGTTCGCCTATTTACAAACAAACAACTCTACAAATTATGTTGATGCCGTATGGTACTTACAAAGCACACGTTGTAGTATACAATGTCGCGTTTGGTTACTTTGCATCTCTACTCTAACAATTAAACACACACCCTGAGCCCTTGTGAGGATTGATCACCCCTCAAGCAAAAAGTAGTTCTGTTTCAAGCAGTATGTTCTCCGTGGAAAGTGAATTGTAACGTTTGTATCCATGATGATGACGAATTTGCAGTTTATAACGACTGAAGTGTTTTCCCTTGTTAAAGTGAAATGTCGCAACATAAAGTAAAAAAAAAACGCCCTTGGGTTGTTTCTTTCATTGAGCTCAAACGATTAAACGAAGAAGCTATTATTGTTTAGCAACCTGATTGTTCGCTAGCTAACCACCTGGATGAGTCTAGATTAACGTGAATAAGATAGCACAAGCAAACTGGTTAAAACTAAGACTAGCCACCATTTTACATGTATTTCACATAGACATTTAAATACTCGGAATTCCCTGCAGTCTCTGCTAAATATATTAGAACATTTAGTGACAAGCTAACATTAGTTGGCAAAGCTTTCTTGTATTAGAGAAATGATTAGATTTACGCCTTCACGCTATTTTCAAATAAATCGTTTTAGAAGACAGCAATGCACTGTCTCTTCTAATTTAGAAATGGAAATGCTTGAAAAATTAAAACCCGTTGCTGGGTTTGCCCAGAAATTAAGTCGTGCTAGGGAAGTTAGCTAGCTGCCTGGCATTTGTTAAATGAACCAATGCGAAACAAAACAAAAAACACACGGCCTGTTCGATATCATTTTTTACATGAAGTTTTAAACATTCATATTCTTAAAGACTACCATTCTGTCGACAGAGTAAAAGCATAATTCCTAACATAGCATAGCACTCAACTTGCCATCTTAATCAGTAGTGCTAACAAATGGTCATATAATTACTGAAGGCATTTGCAAAACACAGACTTTGAAGGGCCAGAAAGAACTGGTGATATCATGATTGTGTTTTTGTGGACGACAACAATCACAGAAAGAATGAAGAGTCCCGATACTTGGTTTAAGTGTCGATGGGGCTGTACGTGACTTTTACCTAGATGAATGCATCTAATATGAAACGATATAGTTCCTGAAGAGATGGATTTAGTTTAATTTACTCCCCTAGATATTACTAAATGAATCTATTACCTATTCAAACTCATTCGTTGCAGCTACACAAAGTAAACAACCCAGCAAAGTTCTATTTGTGAACAACTGCTTTAAAATTGCATGTTTAATAAAAGTAACAAGTGGATGACCATTATATAAAATCCATTTGTTTTGTTTATTTATGTGTATTCTTTCATTATAGAACATGATAGTCAGAATATGCTGTTGCTGGTTCTTTTTTCTCATATCAGAGCATGTACCCCACGTGAAGGCCCCTGAAGTTATTTAAGGCTTTTTTTGACTGCATACATTTTTTTTGTCAGTTCTACAAAAAAAGCCTGGCACCCTGCAACATCCTACAAGTAAGATCAGCAGGACTGTAATCCTTTGTTGTGGTGCAGATGGCATTTACAAGGTCAATTTCAACCATCAGCACAGAGATACTAATAAACATAACTTATTTTCAAAATACCATAATATGTATATTATACATTATTGACAAAGTCTCTGCACATGGCTACATTTAAGCAGAATTACAACGGAACACATCATGGATATTAAATTAAATAATTAACTCCAGGATGTCTCTAAGAACTGCATTCATCTTGTTCATACATTTAATCTTCCTCAGATTTCAGAGATATGAGATTATAAAATTTTCTCTCTTCACCTCATGCTAACAAAGTGCTACATTTGAAGCATTGAATGCTAGGTCACAATTAATTAGTTATCATTGTGACTTCTACTTTCATTTGAACTCAGTACAGTAAATTCATAAGCACACATTAATCTTTCTCTTCCTCCGTCTCAGTAGAAACATCAGTGCCTGAGTCACAAAAGGCCACACTAACAACAGTAGTAATGTACGTCCAGAGATGTCAAATGGCCACCATTTCTCCTGTAAAATGAAATTAAAATATTAAAGAATTCTCTTTTCTACACATAAAATACACAGCATATATGTGCGGTGACAAGCAGCAGTTGAGTCTTGAAATTCATATCAAGTCTGTCACAAGTTTTACCTCAGTTTCTGCAGCTGTCAAGTGTAAATGGGATCTCCGCTGTGAACTTCGAGCCTTAAAACAAATATACAGATAAAAATATAATGAAAATAAAGACACGTACATTTTTATTTACTTATTCAAAATCATTACTGGTGGAAATAATACAAGATGAATGAAGAAAATATTTTACAGAACAAATAAAAAAAAATGTATAATGACATTTAAAGACATGCCATTATGACATCTATGACTAATCTTTTTGGAGATCAACACTTGTGCTATTTCTTCAATTCTTAAATATTTTCTATTTAAAAAAAAAAAAATCAAAATTAACGTTTGCAAACTGAAACTATGCAGCATTCTGTCTCTATTCATTATACTGCTCAGTTTTGACAAATAACATGCACTTTTTTGGCTTTTATTTTATTCAGCTTCCTTACATTTGCAGTTGCAAGGTATTCAACCACCTCTAGTCGTTGCATGATGCTCTGCATGTCCTCTCTGAGTTGCTGTAAGGCTAGAATAATCTGCTGCTGCACTTGGCTGTTCTGTATCCTGTCAGGCCCACCCTTAGAATCGTCTCTGCCCCCTTGCCCTGAACCAGCCCCTGAGGCAAGCTGCTCCGCCCACCTAGCATTGCGGGGAGCCATATATCCTGGAACAAAAACATATGCATACATAAATTTTTTTGGTTTCAATGTAGGCGATACCATCCACACTTTTGAGATCACCCTGGTCTGTTTGCACTAATAATGTGAAGTATTTTGAGTGAATTCTGCTTCAGACCTGAAGGCAATTTCATTTCTTGAGTATATACCAAATCAGCATATTAGAATGATTTCTGAAAGATCAAGTGACACTAAAGACTGCCGTAACGGCTGTTAAAAATTCAGATTTAGGAATACATTTATTTTAATTAAAATAAATTATTTTAAAATATATTATAACATAACATTTCAAAATGTAGTAATATTATTATTATAATATTGCAGTTTTATTGTAATTGTTTTTATTGTATTTTATTCAAATAAATACAGTCTTGGTGAGCAAAACTTGTTCTTATGTATATGTTAGTCTTAAGGTTATCTGTAAGCTAGTGTTTTTCAAAACACTGATTTGCATTTGGAAGATATATTCTGCCAATATGGATCAACAATTTTGATGACATAATTTTGCACTTTAGCTTCTCATCAAATGTTCTGTCCAATCAAATGCTCTTGAAGATCTGAAGCATCCCACTCTTAAAAGACACTAAGGTTGCTGAAATCGGTCACTTAGGTCCAGAGACAATATTGCAGAGCAGATCATATGTGGACCACAAAATGTATCCAACCCATTTGAATTCTACTCAGAATGCTATATTTTAAAGTGCAATGGAGGAGATAAAACCTCAAACATTACACTGATTCTTAAGACATGGGACAAAACATGTCCAGCAATTGTAACTGCTATTAGGTTTAAAAATGAACATATTTTCAATTGTAAATGTTACGGGGGATTAATAATAGAATGTATTTAACACAATTATCTCCTTCAATTTAATTTCATCATTATTATATCAAATCTATGACACTTATTGTCTTCTCACTTCATCTAAAACAGTGTGTCCACAGAGAAGGGTTCAATCATTCATGTTATAAAATAGATAAAAATGTTTTTTTTTTACGATGAAAAAGAGCTTGTTTTATCAAAAGCAACACTTAATAATATCTCATATCAAAGCAAGGTTGTTTTTCAGTGACACATGCATGTTTCATAAGGTTTCAAAGTTCTGTCCCCACTTTTTGTCAACACCGTCAGACATTCATTAAAATGTAATAAAAATAAAAATCAGGGTATATCAGGGGCAGCTGTCACTCTAAACGACCCCTTTGTCACATTCCGCCTCTGCAAAGTACATCAGTGTCAGACAGGCTCTGGTAAGTTTTATGGTTTTAGAATATTTTAAATCCTAATGTTAATATTTCCTGTGTCACAAACATGATATGTCAACACCATCTTCCGATTTCTGAGGAAATTATTTGAAATATTTAGTAGGTTCTATTAGCATCTAGCATCAACAGAAAAAAAAGGCTACTACATGACCTCCATTTGTTTTGTGAAAGAAATGCCAAATTTGTCAACACCGTCAAATGTCAGCACCGTAAGATTTTCTTTCTGACGGTGATGACAGGCCAATGATGGAGTGGACATTCAATGTGAAGTCATCATATTTTTGTGGTTTTCAAGTCATTTTTAATGATATTAAATATAAAATAGTGTTTCATTTTTCTAATAATATATAAATACTGTGATGACCTGACAGCATATATTGCTTTTGTGGATTAATAGTAATCACTTCTAGCAGAGTTAGGGTTGAGGGAACATAAGATTCGGGGAACATAAGGCTGAGGGAACACATAACACTAGATAAAACATATCTATTCATAATACAGTTTGTTGATATACTGATAATATGTTTTCTGATAATTTTTGGATCATCTGTTAGGATGTTTAAATCTGAATATTAAGATCCTGGTGAATGTAAATGGATACTTGACCATAGCAGATGCACAGCAGACATACTTGTTCTGAAATGAGAGAAAATAGATAATTTGTGTTCCAATGGTATATCAAAATATTTAAATGTGAATCTTGAATAAAAGCTTTTTAAATAATAACACTCACTGTTTGTTGTGTTTGCTTTAAAACAGTAATTGATTTATTCAATGTATTTGATCGTTAAAATTACTACAAATCAGATGAATATTTTGATAATATTTCATTATATCTTATATTTGTTGTGGAATTGTTGGTCACATGTTAAAGTGTAATCTGTCTGCTAACATGAGAATGTGTCTTGAAATGTTAAAAACTTGATTCCTGTTAAAGATAAAGTTAAAATTATATTACACAGTCCAAGGTAAATAGCACATTTTGATAAAAAAAAGAAAAGTTGGGAGGTTGCATCAAAGCATAGCTCAGTAGCTTAGTACATATAAGATACATAAATGTAGTTTCATTTTGTCCCTTCCTAACTTCCTGTTTCAGTGGAAATTACATCAACACATTGAATAACACTGTGTTTCAAACACTGATCTATATAAATGAATGGATTGCTCATGGAATTCTAAACTGCATATTGTCAACACAGGTCAGATCAAGATTCAGATTCAGATTCAGATCTAGAATAAAATATATTTCTTTATGCAAGTAATTTTGAAGTAAATATTACACAAACATATCTGAAATTGATTAAAATGTACAATATTACAACACAAGCTTCTGTTGCACTATGTTGTATTCAAATCCAAAGCAAAATTCATGCATCATCTTTCTCAGAGTGACCAGTATAAATGCTTGGAAATAAAGCTTCTATTTCCTGATTGAACAACATTCTGACTTAAGGCATCACAAATTCTATGGCATTTCTATGGCCCCCTGAACAGCATGTTGACTTGGGCCCCCCTCGGTAGAAATCACGTTGGGCCCTTGGAATCATCCTACTGCTGTCACTGTGCACAATGCGTGACAGTCTCAGCTCCCCACTGGCATCAATAAACTGCAGAAGACATGCGGCTGGACAACGGTTCATCGTTTGGCCATTCGTGCACCACTTTTGATACATACTCACTACAGCAGAATGTGAACAACCCACAAGGCACACCGTTTCCACGATCGAAGTTCCGAGGCGCCTTGCCATCACAACTTGTCCCTTATCAAACTCCGATAAATCAGCAGCTTTTCCCATTTTGACACTAAACACTCTACTGACCAAAAGCTGGTCCTCGGATGGTACATATACTGCTCTGTGAAGTGCACCTGCTGCACCATTCAGTTGTCAGGTGCACTCATTGCTCTTGGCTGGGGGTGTAATGGCTCATCAGTGTATACACACACAAAATAATAACATAACCACATTGAATAACAAAGTGAATTAAGGTATATGTGCTTAACTTATAAAGCATAAATCTATATTCAGCTTTTAAAATGAGCACTGTCATATCTGTAATAAAAATTTTAGGTGTCTTGCCTGTCAGTCGATCTAATGTTCGCTACTGTAATGAAGGCGAATGTAACGTTTTAATAAGCAGGGGAAATTCCCAACTTTAATCAAATAATCATTTAAATGCTTAGGACATTTGCTTTGTACAGGGAGACTTCAGATCAAAACGGTGACTCATTAGATAATGTTGTCTTACTAAAATCAGATGACTTCCTATTAATTCAATAGAATGTGTCGGAATACTAGGGAATACCAATAGAGTGGTGCAGTGGTCAGGGGCTGACTTAGGGGCCCTAAATAAATTCCAGGTATGGGGCCCCAGCTGTCAGGAAATATACAAACTCTGGACAGGGAGGTTAGGATAAATCCAGCAATTTATTAATCGTAAAGCAACATAAACAGGTATAGGGAGTGATGGAAGGGAGAACTCCGAGTGCGGGTGGATGATTTAATAGGAATAGTCTTATTGATGAAGTTGAATGAGGATCGGAAAGCACACCTCAGCGCCAGAGAGGTAAGTCGTTTTCAGTAGCAACTTCAAGGAGATAACCTTCGTTCAACGGAGATTGTTCGCAGGAGAACTGGAGAGAGTCCGCTGGAATACTGGAGAATGCAGGATAGAGAGTCTGTAGCCTAATCGAGGACAGACAAAGACTGAACTGAGGTGTTTGCTTATATGCGTTTTGTCCTACTTCTCAAGAATCAGTGATTAGACATCCTCTGCATTATGAACAGCAATGGTGTGAAGAAATAACACCAGTGCCATATGCACAAGCATATATAACACGCTTTCTAATGCCATTACTGAAAATTTTCACTTTTTTTCTAGTAGTAACAGTTCTAAATTAAATCTAAAGAAGGAATTTATTTGACAATTTTTTAGGGCTGCACGATAAATCGCATGCGATATTTAACGCGCATCTTGTCAGAAAGCCGGTTCTGTAATCAGCGGTAAATGTCCATCACCTGCTTGCTTTCACATTGAGCAGCATTAACTACACAGAGCCGTTGTTCACTGA